TAGAGACTCACAATTGATTGCAAATTGTTCAGGAGATTCATGTTTATATTCGTCTTAATTGAAAAATATTCAAATAGTGACCGGAAATGGTACATTCCAACCTTTGACCTATTGTAGGGTCATTCCATGTCAAATCAACCAGATTTAAAAAAAAATCCTGTGATATAGATATCTATGTGAACTGAAAAACCTGAAATTTTGAGACTCGCCAATTCATTCACTTTCCTGTAGTGGCAATTCGACGTAAATTTTTATTTTTTGCACCCTCCGGCCTTGTGAATAGAAAAACCTGAAGTTTTGAGACTCAAATTCCCTTTTCGTTTTCCCGGCAATTCGACGTAAAGGGGGTGTGCCTCAAATTAACTTTGATTTTCATATATGCTACTATCATCATACAACTCCTTTAACCTTTTGTGGTGTAGGACCTGTCTCTTATACACATCTAGATGTGTATAAGAGACAGCTCTAATAGTAGAGTCATTTTCATGAGATCCGTGACTAATTTTAGGATACCTTTTTTTCTCGATGGATTTGGCAAGATGGACCAATTTAGATAAAATATAGCTCCTATATACCTCCCAGATATTGAGGGGGGGGGGCAAGTCCGGTTTGGGGGCGTTTTTCAAAATGGCCACCTGTTGATTTGGATGCTTGTATCTCGATAACCACTGGTCAGAGAGATTTGATTTTGGTCTCAAATTGTTCACAATATGTTGTAATACAACTTTTTATCAAAGAATAGAGGGAAATGCGGTTTTTGGAAAGTTTGACCTTTGACTTTGTAATGTCATATCTCAGTAACTACTGGTCATAGAGACTCACAATTGATTGCAAATTGTTCAGGAGATTCATGTTTATATTCGTCCTAATGAAAAAAAAATATTCAAATAGTGACCGGAAACAATACATTCTGACCTTTGACCTATTGCAGGGTCATTCCATGTCAAATCAACCAGATTAAAAAGGAATTCCTATATGACCGTCTCAGATTTTTATGAAACTCCATAAAAATGATGCACTGTATGCTAAACCAACAAAAAAAAATTAGCCTCATAGGATATGTAGTTTTCGAGATGACTCCTCAAAAATATGGGGCGTGGTTCTTCAAGATCTGCAAACGCAATTTACTTCAACTTTGGAAGCTTATAACTCGAGATTGGTAATAGCTATCAGGATCAAACTTGGTATTCTAACTTATTTTTGCCATATTTTACAAATATGGCATTAGATTAACAGTTATCCCTTCCCTTTTGAAGTTATCTGCACTCAAATTAGCTGCTTTGTTTAACGATGCAAATTTTTTGTGATTTTCGAGGTCACCCTGCGTCTATATAAGTGGGTATATACCCCTCATATTACAGATATATTATCTATGTGTAGTTGTCTTTAGCCACATGCAAGCGCAGGCTGATCAAATCAATTAAAATTGAATGGCATATATTCAAAGTTGGGACCAGATCTATTAAAGTGAAAAACGCCAATGTTTCTCAACAACGGATCGTCTTATGGAAAGTTAAAATCTTTTCTTAAATTAAGAGATACAAGTGTCCAAATCAACAGGCGGCCATCCTACAGTCACTACCTGTCTCTTATACACCCCCCCCCCCCCATATCTGGGAGGTATATAGGAGCTATATTTTATTTAAATTGGTCCAGTTTGCCAAATCCATCGAGAAAAAAAGGTACTGTATCCTAAAATTAGTCACGGATCTCATGAAAATGACTCTACTAGCATGCTGCTGACTGGGTAAATAAAGCTTTCATGTCATCTAAAAATCAATTTCATTGGCTTACTTTGGTCGTCGGAACGCCCATAGAGGCACGACATTTTAAATTTGATAATCTAATTGGGCGTTTATGAAAAACTGAGATTTCTCAGACAATATTTGCCTGGACGACGTGATTTTTGTTGTAGAGGTAAGAATAATAATGTCTTATTACACTGTATAAATAGTAGGTTTCAAAAAGCTGCAAATTTCAGTTATTAGTAGTTTTACAACGTTGAACTTGAAATTATTTTCAGCGGTAGAATTGCAGAGCCTGAGGCTACAACAAGGTTAGCAGACCCGACCATTATACCATAGGTCAGGTAGTAAAAGGTGCCTTGTTCCACTGAATATATACTATTCAAAGAACATGTTTATAAAGGTACAGTATACTTTATGCTGCGTATAGTTTATTCTATTATGGAATCATAAATTCTTTACTGTTTGTGACAGGAATTCAACCCAGGACCCGGGGATCAGAAGGCAAGCATCTTAACCAATCAGCTTAGAGCTATTCAACTCATTAAAAAAAGATTATTATAATAATTATATTCAAATTTAAATCTGAGAGAGCCATTTCCGGCCATCTAATGTGCCATATTTTATAATTTTATCTTACCTCAGCCCCAAACATGTTGGGGCTGAGGCAGATCATGGACACTCTATCTGTGCAAGTCCCTTTCATTCCCCCTCTATCTCGACTTCTTGAACCGGCGCCATTGTAGTTGAGTACGGTACCATTTCCTAGGTTTGAATAATTCATTGTGATCGTGGAAGCAATTCGCTTTGTTCGGAAAACACAAACACAACAATTATGAACCCTAGCTTGATGCCTATAAAATAACTAATCCAATTCACCAAACTTCGTAAAATATACTTATCTTCCACCGGACCACCACCGGGGGGGGGGGGTTGGCGGCCTCTTGGTCCCCAGCCTGATACTCGCTGTGCTAGCATACTAGATGTATTACCTTATCAAATGCCCCCCAACTTTCAAAATGTACCGTTCTGTTTGTAGGCCCAATATTCGCAGACGCTATAAGCACACATTTCGACAGTATTTGTAAATAAAACACTCAACCGTATTTTTTGGTCATCGCACCGATGACCAAGTGATGACCAAATGAAGTATGCACCGTCCTTGCATGCTTCATTAATTTTTTTCATTTTATTTTATTTTGATCACAAATAGCAGTAAACTTAACACTGAGTTGCATGTGATTTACAACATACATTATAATTCTTTATACAAATTTTAATTTAAAAAAGGAATACAAATAAAAAATAAATAAAAAGTAACATTTTACAAGAATGATATACAAATTTAAATAAAATTAATATTTTACATAAAACAATAATAATATGTAGGCCTACAGTCACTACATATAACATTTGAAGTTTCACATCCCTAAAGCAACAAGACAATATATAAATCACTATGTTTACCATCGAGGTAATTGAGATTATTTTAGCGCCCCATGTATAGGCTATTGTAATAATTTGCTTCTTCCTCTTTTCACTAGCGAATATATTTGCGCAAACCGAAATGTTTCACGGCAAATAAAAAATCGCTCTACTTTCCGCTGCAAGATCGAATAACTGCGATTTTTATTTTAGTGGCATTTACAAGATACCAAATATTAATCTAAGACACATTCTTTTATTAAAATATAAGAATCTTAATAATTCGAAGACAAAAGCAAAGACGATTAAAATACGGAAGTATTGGGTGAGACAGGTTTGCAGCGAAAGGGAAGAAAGAAGAGAGTATCATCTTTCAATTTAACAACTAAAACCGTACCATACAGAGTATTTTTCGAATGTCACTAAGAGGAACTTGTGAGTTGGATTTCCCCTTTTATTATAATGAGCGCTCATGAACTCGTGATATGTGAATGCGCATGCGTAGAAACCGACGCGGAAGCAACTTACGTGCGCGTGTGTGTACGTGGTTTTCATGGCACGACATGGTACGGCAAGTCCTGTGCATACCCTGACTGTGTACTTTGGAACACGCGTTTACTGAGTATGTTTTGAACGTTAATAATGATCATCGTTCAAATTAGACGATAGACGATGTTAAACTTAGACTTCGTACGTCTATTTTGTATAATACTCCAGGCAGATCGTTATTTATAGCATTGGTGTTCACAGTAACGGACTCCTTCGGTGAGAATAATTATTGATTGAACACTTTATGATAATATAATTCATACATGGCCAGGCTTAGTTTTGCTAGTATAAAGTCGATCTTTAATAAGGAAATGCATAGTTACAATGTTGTGATAATTTAGTATTTGTGTTGAGACATTGCTAAAGTCAAGTATATTCGTTATTGATTGATTTTCAGTTACTCATCTTGTTTGTGAGCAAACAATGTACTGTACAGAGAGAATACAGAAGTTTCGCTTGCGATTCTATTTTTTTTTATTTTCCTCTCTATTATATAACGTATGGTTAGCTTAAGCCGCGGGCACTCACTGTGTCGTATGACGGTAGTTCGACGGTCGTTAAAATGACAATTTTGGCACTGTACAAACGATATTGATTGGTGAATTATTGGTCCGGCCAAAACTGGACCAGCCGGCTGCTTCCTTGGCCTTTGAAAAAAAAATCCGCTGCCTCATTCATATTCATGTTATGTTTATTTAAGACACGTGAATCAAAACACGAGCAAGTAGAAATTCATCTGTTAACAAATTTTATAAATCGGCTTATCTGACCTGGCAGAACTACAAAACGGACTCGAAAAATTAGTATAAGAAAACATATTATTACTGGCGTAAAGGTCGTGAGCTCTCGGAGAAGGGGAAGCCCCGGGCCCTCAGTCAATGGGGCCCAAATCATGCCTGATTATTGTTGGTCTACTTCGGTAAATTTTTGGTAATAAATGATATAAATAAACAAAAATAGATGGAGCTTCAACCAATATAAGATAGGCCTACCAAAAATATTAAATGAATGACGATGCACAATTATTGATTTTATCAAATAGGCCTATGCCTATTCTGTGGGTGAAAACAAAAGTTGATTTATGAAAATATACTGATGGGCTCCAACATTTTCTGACCCCCGGGCCACATGACTCGTCGTTACGCAACTCGCATACAGTATACGATTAATTAACTCTTGGACGACAGCTGGAACCACACATTACGTAAAACCACGGAATGTCTCCGGCGAAAGCATAAATTTTCGCATAGGCCTATCTGATGAAACCAAACTAAAGACGAAACTGTTATATACAGTAATTAACCATTTGATCTTAACAATTCATTTAAAAAACAAAGAAATCTAAAACAACAATCCTTAATACTGAGTTCTTAATCAACAAACTGCTTGGCCTATAACAGAGTAGGCTTATAAAAGTATAAGATTAGCCTCACAAGTGATTGCTTGCATTCAAACCACCAATTATTCCGATCACGCGGTGTTTAATGCCTTTCATGATGACATTCCGGAAAGCATGCACCGTAATCGCATCCTATGATTTCATATTGTTTCTCAGGTACCGTATGGCATAAGTTATACAGTCATGTATGTGAGCTGGTTTTTCTTCGTTGTTTCCTTGTCTTTGGCCTCCAGTAGTATTATGGCATGCAAAAAAGCTCAGAACAAGTAAGTGTGTTTATAGTTTTTGCCTAAACAGAAGTTGTATGATGATAGACACAAGTGAATAGGCCTAAATTATAAAGTAGTATAGCTAAGAAAATCTAAAATTTTACGCCGTGGCTAGAGATACGGTACCGTATTTCTACTTCAATTTGCTAAAGGTACGGTAAATGGCATTACGTCACCATCACCCAATGAAGTGCCAGAATGTGCGTGACGTCATTTTCCAAGACTGGCATTATTGCAGAAAAATTAGCAAGAAAAACCATTTTCTTTAAAACGGATTTTTTGAGACGATCCCTGCACAGATGGTATCACAGCCCAAAAGTACACTGTAGCTAGTTTTTAGCTCTCCACATGCAGTGAGTGTTGAATTATTAAGATGATTCCCTAGACATTCGCCAACATTACAGGATGGCATGTAACGTTATCTCTCTCAACAAATGATAGTTTGATCGTTCAATCTGGTAGAACATTTTAATAGGCCTTTTTCACGAATCGGTTAACATCATGAAGTGATGACAAACATTGCGAATCAGCGGTGTGTAACCAACAGAAATAAGATAAGCTTTTGGGCTAATTTTCTGACATCATGTTATTTTAAAAAACATTACTCCATAACGGAGCGCCGTATCCAAAAAAATTTTCCAGCAAAATGTTCTTAAAAGACTATTCTACACCATTATATGATTGAAAAAAAATTGAAAAATTTTTTTGACCTCTGAAATCAAGATTTAAAAAGAAAAGCCTATCTCAGTAGTGTATTAAAATATGTATTTGCATTACAGTGCAGTGGTACTAGTAATAGTACGAACTAGCATTGTTTGAGTTACCATATGAGAGTTTCCTGTGTTAAAAACATGATTTACTATGCTATACCTCTTTATAAAACATAACTTGTACTTTATAGTAAGAGGAATCTGTATATTATCGCTACTTGGAACAGTAACAACACAAAAGTCCTATGCTACTGCACTGTAATGCATAGGCCTATTTTAATACACTACTAAGATAGACTTTTCTTTTTCCATCGTGATTTCTGAGGTCAAAAACATTTTTCAATTTTTTTTCAATCATATAGTGGTATAGACTAATCTTTTAAGAACATTTTGCTGGAAAAATATTTTGGATACGACGACCCGTTATGGAGTTATGATTTTTTATATAACATGATGTCAGAAAATCAGCCCAAAAGCTTATCTTATTTCTGTTGGTTACGCACCGCTGATTCGCAATGTTTGTCATCACTTCAATATGTCTACCGATTCGTGAAAAAGGCATATACTTTAATTCAATAGAACTTTTATATTCAATAATTAAACACTGGTGATCTTCAATGCTGTAGGTAGGCTAGCCTAGGCCCTAGGCGGGGCGCTAGGGTCTCATCTAAGCTAGGCTAGGCCTAGCCTAGCTAGCCTAAATAAAGCACGATTTATTGCCATTGGGGTGTGTGACTTGAGACCTATACATTCAACAGCTGATTGGCTTAATTGATTTCTGGGCCCTTTGTTAAATATTAGAATGGGGATTAGATGTAAGGGGAGTACGCCCCTCCCCTTATTTTTTTGTGGAAAAAAAAGCTTTCACCCACAGTGTTTAGATTGGAAAGAAATGCAGTGTATGATTGGAAAGAAATGCAAGAAATGAAAGAGGGAAGGAGGCGAAGGATGGGAAAGAGAATGTTTATCCAGTCCTCAACCGGGTTAAATTTTCTCGCGATTAACATTGGCGGATCTGGGGGAGGGGGTAATGCGTCCTGACCCCTCCCTTGGCCAACAAAAAAAAAAGGAAAAAAAATTCTAGACCTAACTTTGCAGGACCCGTGAGCTGATTTTTTTTTTTTTTTATGTTACAGTAAGAAAATTAGAATTTTGAAGAACGTCATTAAAACATACTTCCATTGTCGGGAAAGCTTATTTCCTGTCATCTAGGAATCAAAATTTTCCCAGGGGGTAATCCCCGGACCACCCTTTCTTTTTTGGGATTTATCGATTCATGGAAAAAAGAATAGGCGTGCAACTACTCATTTATTTATGTATGTATACACGCATAAAATAAGACATGAGAAAAATTTACCTGACCGTTTTCAAGAGGGAAAAACCTTAAATTTTGAAGAACTTAAAAAGTCATTTAAAAGACATTTCAGAAGTCACGAAAGCTCATTTCCCGCATTCTAGAAATCGAAATATTTCCGGGGTAACCCGGACACCCTTTTTCTTCGGAATTCATTGATTCATTAAATCATTTTCAAGAGGGGAAAAATTAAATTTTGAAGAAATAAAAAGTAATTAAAAGACACCTCAGAAGTCGGGAAAGCTTATTTCCCGCCTTCTAAGAATCAAAATTTTCCCCGGACCCCCCTTTCTTTTTTGGTATTTATTGATTCATGGAAAAAATCGTATGCAATTACTCAATTTGTTTATGTATGTAAACACACATAAAATAAGACATGAGAACAATTTACCTGACCGTTTTCAAGAGGGGAAAACCTTGAATTTTCAAAGCTGTGAGTAGATGAATTATTATTTTAATGACACATTTTATAGTTGCATATTGCGACTACCCTGAATATTAAAATTTCTTTTAAAAGACATTTTTTTAAAATTTTTTTTTTATTTGTTACTGAAAACTACTATACCATGCTAGATAGTCAAAATTGACTTAATGCAAACTCATATTCCTCAAATGTGCTGGGCTTCAAGGGGGCTTCTCCCCCTTCCACCCCCATCAGGGGCTCTGCCCCTGGACCTCGCCGGGGGCCCTAGGCGGCCCCCTGGCCCCCAGCCTAAGGCTGCTCGCTTCGCTCGCAGGCTGCGCCCCCCCCCCTTTTCTGGCAGGCTGGATCCGCCCCTGTAGACCTATAGTTGTTTTTGGAATTGTACTCCACAAATCTCAGCCGATACCTCGCACAACTGGCTAACGTCTCTATCTATTGTCGTGACGTCATGGCTCGCTGGCTCACACTTGTGATATGTCTCGCACTTGTGATCAAATAACACGCTGGTCGCACTTTGGCAACACTCTTTGGCAGTCAACTCGCCCCTAGAAAACCCGCCCTATACCATGCAGTCTTCAAAATAAAAATTGTAACCTTTGGTAATCAACTTCCACATACATAGAAATTTTTGAAACTTTATTAAAAAAAACCATAATTCACCACACTATAGACACTTTTTGACAAAAATGAAAAATTAAGACTTTGTTACCCAATGAGAAGTGTTCTAATATAGACAATGGGTCGTGTCTCATATTATTTGTTATAGTTTTATTATTCATTATTTTCATTTGACTCGCATAAATAATTTTGTTCGAAGAACATTTATATGCAGTTGTACTTCGCAGCACTTCACTTGCAATTTGCAATTTCTAGTTATATTCTGTTGTGTCTGCAGTTGAATGGTCCTTATCGCTTAATATGCGTATAGCCGTGCCAGAATGAAGAACAATGCTCCAAACGTTATCTGTAAGCCTAAATAAATATTATTTTACAACATTTCATTTTCGCTTTCGACAGTAGAGCGAGGGTAATCTCAGATTATCTGTTATATGTTTTGTGTTTACAGTGCTACGCAGCAAATTTGATTTGAATTACAGATGATTTCCCAGCTGCGAGCTACACGCTTTTCGTTGACGCCTATGCTTTGAGAACTTTTATGAACCAAGCTTTTCTAGTTAATAACCACAGCTCCACTGTGTTAGCGTTTCAGTCAGTTGTACCTGGGGGTTAGATCTTCGCCTCTATCATGAGGTTTCTGTGGTCTAATGGGGATATTCTTGTACTCAACTTGATAGCGAGAATTTGCAGGTTCGAATCCCGCCAGGGACGCTTTTTTTCAACAACTAAAATAAAGGAACTCTTTGTGATGAGCTATGCTTGATACGATTATTATAACACGTTGTTATTAGAGCATTGTTCTGATTATTTATTAATTTGTTTATGTTATATTATATTAATATATACAGTATATGTATATCAAATAAAACTGAGGAACAAGGTATAAATTTGCCTAATTTGAAGGCCTATATTATATATATAAAAGCATCTGCATAAACACTCCCGAGATCGAACCGATTGGGCCAACTTACACTATCATTGTCTATTTTTATTCATACATACATACATATGTATGTAAATATAGGCCTAATAGGAAATTGTATGTTTTCTCAATGTTTTTAGGCCAGAGTGGGAAAATCTAATGTTGGCCCAGCTATGGCCTCCCACGTTTTGTATGTCTCAAAAGGTAGGCCCAAGTTGTTTTTTATATTAGTGAACGCCGGCGTTAAATGCCTGTGAATTACTTCATGATAGTTTATTAACATTTTAAACAACTACGGTACATGTCCGCTCTCTGCTGCTGTTGTAAAGAAATTAATAATTTGATAATAATGTTGATAATGCATGTTGATGATGATAGTACAATTTCTGCAGTACGGTAAAGTTAATGTAAACTTTAAGCCTATCATCCACTAATTATAGGTTTTTGACGTATAGGGCTGCATCATTTTTCTTTCAATGTTAAATTTCTGCTTTTGTCCTATAGAGATTTTTCCACCTGACTAATTATTATAAAGTGTTTTAATGCTTATTGTTATACAGTAGTATAAGAATTAATAATGACCACTCAGTGGCGTATCCAGGAATTAAGGAAAGGGAGTGCTGATGAAATGAGGATCCACACCACGTCAGCACCACCATGGTTGGCGATGATGTGCGAAAATTTTCAGTATTTTATAACGGGAAATGGAACTTAAATAATTCCTTTTTTATAAAATTATAAAGAATATATGTAATCATGGTACGAAACCATGCCAAAAACCCCTATTATAAGGGGGACACTTTTTTGGTCCCGAACGCATCCCGTAAATATGGGTTCTACTGTATACAAGTGCTATTTTCGGGCATCTATAAATCTAAAATTCATAACTGTTTCTCACAACGTAGTTTTTGGAATTGTAAGTGCGTGCCATTTTCGGACAACTATTTAATTAATTCGTTTTTATAGTACTCAATTTGTCAAAAATAAAAAGAATTTTAATTGACATATAAATTAGTTAAAGATGAATTATGACTAATTTATAACAATAATTTGCAATGCAAAAACAATTTATATTCATGAAATAACAGATAATTAAAACTACAGAAGCTCTATTTAATGTTTCTATACTTTGTTTTTAAATTTTGAGCTTTCTGTTAGATGTACAAGATAGAATAGCATGAATAAAGTAGCGACTTAGATATCAGGTAGTAGGATATAGATCAGAATCCTATGGAAATACACAAAACAAGAAATCCCCTTAATTAATGGTCAAAATAAATGACAAGATTGTATTTATACGACGTAACACATGCACTAGACATATACTAATGTCCACTATAAAGATTGAGAGAAAGACGTTCTGGTTTGATGTTGTGTATAGCTTAAAAGGTGTCCCATAAACTTTAATGATTTCATGGTGTTTTATGCTGTTTTATTAAAACAGATCAAATGTTTGGTACCATTAGGCGACTTTTTTTATACCTTGTAGTACCTGCCCGCCAATAATGATGATTTTGAATAAAAATAGAATTTTATTTTTGGCCAATTAGCACACCCTCCGAAACGAAAAAATGGAAATTGCAGGAAAAAAAAAAGTTTCTCTTTATTTTTAATACTCGGAACTTTTTTTTTTCAATTTAGAAAGGGGGTGCCCAGCACCCCCTGGATACGCCACTGTTACTAATAAAATAATGACGATGATTGTAACGGTGGTGGTGTTGATGAGATCGGTGATAGCGGTTGTGATAATGATCATCTTCATAGTAATTAATTTATTAATTAATTAATTCATTCATTCATTCATTCTATAATTGCTGCAGAGTTAGGTAGGACTTATACAACACGGAGACGTTGTTGTCATCAATTCAATGCATTTTATTTATCATGCTACGAAATCATATCACTTCTGAATATGTTGCAATGATCAATTCAACATAGAATAACCACTGGTTCCCGACAATTGCTCCGGTATATGCTGGCTACCAAACAATAGGCCTATTATTGCTTGGGAAGCACTGAAGTGGCGTCGTGTGGCACACTAATATGTAAATTGGTATTCTAATTATTAAAACGGATCCATAATTATAGGCCTACTGTCGTTACACATTCATCTATCCATCCGTCCTTAGTCGACCCAGAAGTTCACATTCATACAATATTATAACACGAACATTGCCTTACAAAAACTAATTCTAGGAGGGAAAAGGCAAAATAATTTTGTCTAATATGATTTCTTGAACAGGATCTACATAGCAGAGCATGCAATCCAGCAAACTTGACCAAGTGGATTATCCATGGACTTTGGTAACTACAATCAATCACTTTGAATAAATACAGTATTTTTTGAATAATTTTCTTTTGTTTAACGAGTGAAATAAATGTTACAAACCTGCAACCTTTCAGATGCACTTCGGTTATCCTTTCTTAGCATTGATTCTAATGCTTGGTCGTCAGCACCGCTATATACGCAGAGCCATATATACGCGGTGTGGTACGCCCTCGATCAGTAGGTGAGTTTTCTTGGTCTTAGACCTGCGCTCCGTTACTGGTGTTCTTGGTATCGACAGGTTATCATAAAGGTGAGATAATTCACCTTTATATTAATACAATCAATAACATAATACAACAGCAACTGTAGACTAATTTCAAAACGAAGTTAATTTTGGCCTCGGTGAATAAATTCATCATGATTCCTAGTAATATTTGTTAAATATTCTTTGAATGAGAATGAAAAGTATTAAAAAAGCGTTGATGTAAACTCGAAAATATTAATAACGTAACATCGGCCACAGAAGGAGCGTTTACATCGCGGCCTATGTCAGGTATCCATACTACCCGCAAATCCTTCAACCACACATAAGCATGATCATACACACTAGCTACGTAGTGACTCGATAAGAAGAACGTTTACTTTTTTAATAATTGGATCATCCAAAAGAAAATTTAACGAACATTTAGGCCCATCTAATAATTTAAAGTTTATTTTTATCCCTCTCCTATTCAAATAGTGTCCTGGGTTCTTTAAAGTGTATAGAATGTTGTCTGTGTAAACTAGGTCATTCATAGTCTTCATCGGAGACATTTTGGTTCTAACACCCAAAACAAGAACGAAGAGGGCCTGGGAGCAGGACCGATGTTAAGGGTCTATATTTATTTATTTATTTCATTTGCAACTTGTATATTAAATTACAACGAGGGCAGCAAGTGACAAGGCCAAAACGGTATACAGTACTTTGAAAATGACCAGTGAAAATGTTTAACTTTAATGGGCGAAGCTGTGACTTGGAAGCAAAGGTGCTCGCTTTCAAAAGGGCTTTAGTTTAGTCCTTCTGAAATAGATCTACCAGAATTATTTCTATTACATTATATCTCATAAATAGCGTTAGCAAATTTATCTCCATCCTATGCCTAAGAGCCTAAATCGAATGAAAATTATATTTCTAGCATTGTTTATTGAGAGTAGGCCTTTTAATTTCACAAATTTGTATATTCCCTATATATTCCCTACTGTAGGCCTATAAAAGACATACCTGGTCATGTTACCGACTGCCTTCCACAACAGACGTTTGATTCAGCAAAAATCAAGGTACGGTATGCTAAATAAAAAAAATATTACGTTCTTCGCATGGCATAATACTGTGGCATGGTCTTAAAATTGTGGTTAATTGTTATTAATTATATGAAGTGGAATATTATATACAATAATATTATTTATCCTATCTAGTTGTGTATACATATAATATATAAGCCTATAGGCCTATATATATATATATACATACATATATACACACACACATACACACACACACACACACACACACACACACACACACATATATATATATATATATATATATATATATATATATATATATATATATACCTATATACCTATATATATATATATACCTATATATGAAATTGATACGAGGAACATAATTTTATTATACTCCATTGTTGTTTCATTCAAGTTGAGGAAATTTTTCAGGACGAAATATTCGTGCCAAATAAAATTATGTTCCTAATACGTCAACTGTGTATTAGTTTATACACGTCACACACATGCTGCTTACCATCTTATTGATACTTATATATAAGCCTATATATATTATATATATGTGTATATATATAAAATGTCTAATCAAAGCTACTGTTGTACCTCGCTTTTTATTTATTTATATCCGCTCTGGTCTACCATTAGACCGTGGGTTGAGAATCTAAAACGTTCAATTCTGTGACCCACCAATCCGGGCTACCTGGCTTTTGCACAAAAATGTAAATACTATTAAATTGTAACATAATTTGATTGTCGGCAATCGTGAATTTGGGGAAACTGTAACCAAAAATGAGAATTTATATCAAAAGTTGCTACGTAACTATAGCCAATCAGAAGACGACTAACAATGAAGTTTGGCTTAGCTGCATGGCCC